CCATTTCGAGGATCCTGTCCTCCAGCATTACTCTGGTGCATTTGGCGGTGACCACTATCGAGTCGCTCTTGGGTGTCTTGAATTTCACTGTCCCTGTGCGTTCTGACTCCTCTTGATCCAGGCTCACGAAGTCGCTCGTCGCACTATATGCTGCCATATACGACCCCGTCATTTCTCCGACGATCACCTGGGGGCCAATTCTCGGCTTTAGAGATGGTGTCGAATTCGACAAAAATGTCTAATGACGTCATTTTTTCGTCAAATTTTAAAAGTTGCTATTCTGGAGATGTCGAATGCGACATTTGTCGAAGGCTAACGTTAGAGTTCATGTCGAGTGCTTCTGAGCAGTAGAGATGGCATGTCGATTGTAGAGATACGCCATTTCTGAGTGAATTCGTTTGATTTTGGGATTGTAGTGTCTTTTTTCTTTCGTTTTGAAATAAAATACGGCTCTGCATCTCATACCTACTGGAAATTCGGTATAGACTTTTCGATTTGTGCATTCTCTACAATGAAGCACTTAAGAAAACGCGATCCACTATCGAGCGCTGTAATGGAGTGCTATAGGGCCGATTTAAGTGTCTTTTAATACTTTTAAAAAAGGACAGGGTGTTACATTACACACCTAATAAGGCTACTAATATAATTAATGCCTGCTGTGTATTACACAATTTGTGTATAGCCCACAACTTTGAATTTTCTGATATGCCTGAAGAGAGAGAGTTAGGCATAATTATTATAGACCCTCCAACCAGGCAATATTTATTTAAATTCAGGCAGAAATATACAACAAAATATAATTAAAATAACCATAAAATGTTTATAAAATTGTTTTATTTATTAGGTACCTTAATTTTATAAGCAAATACATTACTAATTTAAAAAAAGACATGGTAAACATTCAATAAGTATATAGTTATTATTACACTTGTAGTTATTACACTTTGTAAAAGAATGTTAAATCAGCTACTCGTTAAAGTATCAAAGTCCGTCAAATTTCTTAACCTCAGTGACACACTTTTTCATTATAAAGTTAGAGTAATTATACAATCACAGTACTGTCATTTAAACAATATTAATCTTAGAAAATTAACAAATAAACTTTACATTTATATAACAATAATCATGGCAGCATAATGTAAATAATTAACAATGATTTTTAAATCATTTGTCTATATGTAAGTACATAATGCAGACTATTAACAGACTAATTATAAAATCACAGCTTAATCTTTCTCACAATAATAAAAATTATTATTATACCTCTATTCTTTAAAAAAATAACTTTAAATATAGACCACACAACTTATAAAATCAGGATTTTTACAATTAAATAAATTGTAACCAGTCTCTTGATCATTAACTCGTCTATGCAATTAAAATCATCAAAGCGTACTGAAAGTAGAATTGCTTCGAGATCCAGAAGTCTCTTGAGCAGCCATACATACGCCGACTTTTGCAGTACTTGGTGTGGCTAAATCTGAAAAAAAAAAACAAAAAACAAAAAGTCACTCTAATTGCAATATAATTATATAATAATAGCAGTATGGGAACTAGAAAATTCAGAAAAACATAAGTTTCACTCACCAATAAATTCCACGATTGATTCATGGGCATCTATGTGGCCAACAAGTGCAGCTATACTAAATTTGGCAAGCACCAATTGTTCCTCTTCATTTAATTGTTCTTGTGGTGGACCTCTACCAGTCAACATAGATTGTCTTCTAATTGTAGCTAATTTATGTATTATTTATGCCGTTGTCTGGCCGCCTCTGAAATAAAATTATTACATTAGTACCAACATATATACTTGAACAATGAAATCATATACTAAGATAAATAAATTACTGAGAAGTAGAGAATTGGAAAACATTGCGGTGATTGTAAGTACTGAAAAATAAGTATTAAAACGGTTGAGTCATCTAGAAAGGAAGATAAGTGCATCGGTAACCATTGTACTTACTTCGCGCCAACCAACCCAAGATTTTTTGGCACCGGCCACAGCATATTTTAACTGTTAAGCGATGGCATCTTCTCTCTGCTTTCTTCTTTGAGAAACTGTAGGAGAATTTACCTCCCCTCAATTCCATGTCTGCTTCAATGAGTTGAACGAGTAATTGTTTTTGTTGTGGACTGGGGTAATTTTTCCCCTCCATGTTAAAATACAAAATAAACAGCACAACCCACTAGTGAGTTATGTAAATAGTGTAAATACAAAAGTTTTGAAACAACCGAAAAAAATGCAAATTATGACACTGACAGACAGTCAACTGTCAAACTGATTATTTTTGCACTAAACGTTCCGTTTTAACTTAAATAATTAGGTTAAGTGAACGTTTTATGACAAAATCATTCATTCACTCATAACTACCTAAAATGGAACGTGCGATTCTGCATAATGGTAAAATTATCTTCACTCGACTCGACATTTTCGTGACATTAGTTTCTATTTTGACTGAGAATACGGATTTTTGTGCAATTCGACATTTTTTGGTAGAGATAGAGATATTTTTGATAGACATAGAGATAGACTTACAATGTCGAACTCGAGATAAATGGCGAAAATCGAGAATTGGCCCCCTGGGATGTGACGTTGTCGTACACGGCCGCCCCCGCCTCCTCGAGCAGTACTCTCAGCAGACCTTCCGTCTGACGTTGGAAGGTCAGCATGATTTTTCTGCATGTCATGAGATTGACCTCCTTGGTGGCTCTCACGACTGCTACGTACTCGAGGAAAGCGCTCTCCACGTGATCCGTGATGCCCGAATTCACTGCGAGGGTCGGTGGGCTGACGTGCCCTTTGTCGGCTCTTGTTGGTACAGGGACTGGCTTTTTCGGTTCTTCTGGTGTTCTTTTGAAGAACCTTTTGAGGGCGGACTCCTGCTTTGTGGGTGTGGAGCTGTGGCTTGTACTCGGGAGCAGTGCATTGAGGAAAGTGCCTATGGCCTTCAGTCGACTTCTCGACCGGGCTCGGTTCTCAGGGCTGGTGGTTCTGGTCTGCTCCTTTGCGGCTTTCTCAGCTGCTGCCTTCTGCTGGGCCCTTTCTGATCCGCTCAGGGTGGCGGAACTTGTCGCGGTGCTCGTCGCGCCGGCTGTTGAATCTCGGGGAGTTTTGAGAAAACTCAGAGTCTCCCCTCTGTCTTCATAGACGATCACAGGCATTTTCAGGCAGCCGAAGCAGTCCACGACACCTCCTCTTTCCCATCCCACCACCATTGCGTCCACGCTAATGGCACGGGCTGCGATTGGTGTATGTTCTCCTATTTCCCTGATCTTCTGGAGCAGCAAGTTTGTTTGCGCAAATGGAGACTCCTCTCCCCACTCGAGCAGTGCGATGGTCTTTCCTTTGAATCGCACCAAGCGGCATCGGCACCGACACGTATATCGTCCTCACAATCTCTCGGTTGAGACCCCATGTCACCTTCGCCGCGCACGCTAGTTGCTTGTAAACGTCTGCCGCTTTCTTACAGGTCGCAGACACGTGCGCGTTGAATGTGAGTTTGGCGTCTATTGTGAGGCCCAACAGCTTCACCTCCTGTACTAGGTCCAGCCGCATGCCAGACATGTGGAGTACGGGGTCGTCGTACTTGAGCTTCCTTGTCACCATCGCATTAGTCTTATGCGCGGCGAAGCGTTATTTGTTTTGGAAGCCCCATTTTGACCGTGTCTAGCGCGCTGTTCGCCGATTGCTGCAGGGGACCGGCCGAGAAGTCTGAGAAGACGAGGACGACGTCATCCGCAAAGGCTTGACAATAAATCCCTAAACTTGTGTTTGTTTAATGTTGGCAGGAAGTGCCACTTGAGTCGGCCGACCAGGAGCCTCTCGACTATCTTACCGAGGACCGAGAGAAGACCGATTGGTCTGTACGACTTTGGGGTCGTGTAGTCGTCCTTCATCGGCTTGCGGAGTATGCATACATGAGCGACCTTCCACTGCTTGGGGAAATGGGACAGCGATAAGCACTTGTTGGCCACCGCTAAGAACAGTTCCCTGTCGCAGTTTATTGCCGCCGTGCAGATGTCTGCTGTTAATCCATCGGGACCGGGAGCCTTCTTCGGGTTTTGGTTCTTTAGGACCATTTCCAATTCCGCGATCGTGAAGGGTGGGTCATCTGTAGATAGTCCTCGAGGATACTTCTCCTCCGCAAGCTTCCTCAGGGCTGTGTGGTAACGCTGTTCGGCATCCGTTGTATCTTCCGGGTAGAAAGTTTTTGCCAGGAGATCTGCAGACTGCTCGGGACTGAGCGTATTTCCTGCGGTGTTCCTTAGCAGCGTGTCGTCCTGTCTCCTGGCTGTCTTCCTTAAAACCCTGTAGATGCCGTCCCACATGCTCTCTCGATCCTGTATTGTGCAGAACTCCTTCCAGCTGGTTGTCGCCGCTTCCGCGGCTGCCTGAGTGTAGGCGTTTTTTGCCTCAACGTACTCTTTGATGGTGAAGTGTCTTCGGCTTTCGGCCGCATTCCGGATCCTCCTCTTCTTGGTCATCGTGTCTCTTTTAAGACGATCCAGAGAAGGGGTCCACCACGGGGGGCTAACGCTGTGCTTAGGTGACCCCAGTTTTGGAATCGCCTCCTCACACGAACGGTGGATTTGACTTATATATTTCTCGATGATTTTTTCCAGATCTGGGTTCGAGACGCCCGAGACGTTGGCTTCGGTTATGTTGTCTTCCGCCAAGTTGGTTTTGAGGTGTGAGCGAAAGTCGGACCACTTTGCCTTCCTGGTATTATATATTCGCGTCGTAATCGGCCTTAGAGGTTCCAGGACTTTTTCGAGGCGTAATGAGAAGGTAATTGCGTTGTGGTCCGAGGTTGTCAGGTCTCTTTGCACTCGCCAGTCTTCGATTTTACCCAGCAGTGGTAAGCTGCAGGCCGTCACGTCGGCTATGCTAGTGCACCACCTGTCGCCTCTGTATGTCTCGAATGTAGGTGTCTGCCCGGTGTTTAAGATCTGGAGATCCCGTTCGTTGAGGTAGCAACTGTACGCCGCCCCACGGTGGTTCTCGGAAGCACTACCCCACTCGTTAAATGCAATTTGAGATCTAATGATGCATTATAAGGCTCAAATTCTTATTTAACAAATTTCAATGCGAGTTGGACGCGGGTGGCGTGCGCTGAGCGTGCGCGTGTCGTGTGAACGCGCCCTGATAGTTGTCAATAAATCGTCACCTTTATGGTAATTTACGAAACTGCAAATTCAAACTTTAAAAGGGAGCGTTTTGAAACTTTAGATTGCCGATATTTATTTTTAACTAATGATGTAATAAATTCTGCGATAAATTTCAGTTCCAAAATCCACCTGTTTTTATATACTATGAATGGATCGTACATATATAACACGCATCACAAATAAATGCTTATTCGTTACTTTACACCTTCATACACGAGAGTTTAGAGGTATTATTATATTACGCTTTAGCAAACTTACGAAAGTGGTAGTTTCATAATTGCATAAGAAAACTATTGAATAAATATTTTGGTAAACTTACGAAAGTGCCACTTTCGTAAGTTTGAGCACACATGACCAGGGGTGATGTGTTTTTAATTCCTTGTAAGCAACACACTTTTTACAGAGATCCTTCGGCACATGGAATTTTAATTTATAGGATCTGAAGACTTTCCGGTAAGTCTTTATTCCTGCTGGGATCTCGCTTCATCTTCACATTTTTTTTTTATAAAGAATACATGATGGTCTAGAATCTAGATACCTGAACTCTGAATTTTTTTTGCAATAGTGTGACTCTATGGCAAGAAATGAAAAAACATAGTTTTTAATTCAATCAAGTCTCTCACTAGAAAGTTTGTTAGATGGATGGATTTTGCCTCTTTTGTCAGCTAAAAGCCTTTCTTCAGAAATCTTTTCTAAAGCACCTCGTACTATATCTTCCTTGATGTTTAAAAAGAAATCTCTGCACACAGTAACTTTTCTATTGTTTATTGTAAAAACTATATTGATGCGTACTTACTTTGCGTTTCTTATTTTCTTTTGTAACGTGTTGGATAATAAATTGTGCTTGTAATAATTTCATAGCTCGAAATGAGTCATAAATTATTTTTCTCGCATCTTCAGGTACTCGCCATCGCCGCCGCTGTCTCCGGCGGGTCGACGTCATCGATGTCAATCGCCGCGTTGGCGACAGCGGTCGCCCGAGACATCGCCATCACCGCCTATGCGGGTGTCATCGCCACCACGGCGTTGGCGACGGCGGTCGCCCGAGACATCGCCATCACCGCCTATGCGGGTGTCATCGCCATCACCGTGTTGGCGACGGCGGTCACCCGAGACAACGCCATCACCGCCTATGCGGGTGTCATCGCCATCACCGCCTATGCGGGTGTCATCGCCATCACCGTGTTGGCGACGGCGGTCACCCGAGACAACGCCATCACCGCCTATGCGGGTGTCATCGCCATCACCGCCTATGCGGGTGTCATCGCCATCACCGTGTTGGCGACGGCGGTCACCCGAGACAACGCCATCACCGCCTATGCGGGTGTCATCGCCATCACCGCCTATGCGGGTGTCATCGCCATCACCGTGTTGGCGACGGCGGTCACCCGAGACAACGCCATCACCGCCTATGCGGGTGTCATCGCCATCACCGCCTATGCGGGTGTCATCGCCATCACCGTGTTGGCGACGGCGGTCACCCGAGACAACGCCATCACCGCCTATGCGGGTGTCATCGCCATCACCGCCTATGCGGGTGTCATCGCCATCACCGTGTTGGCGACGGCGGTCACCCGAGACAACGCCATCACCGCCTATGCGGGTGTCATCGCCATCACAACGTTGGCGACGGCGGTCGCCCGAGACATCGCCATCACCGCCTATATATGTGCGGATGTCGGCTCTGCGATGTCGTTGTCGCACTAGAGCTACCACACACACGTCACAGCCACGGCGGGGGGCGTCACAGCGACGGCGGCTGTCTCCAAAGCCGTCGAGTCCAGCACCTCCACCTTTGCCGGAGACACCGCCAGCACCTCCTCATTCGCCGGAGGCACCACCAGCACCTCCTCATTCGCCAGAGGCACCACCAGCACCTCCTCCTTCTCCAGGCCTCCCTGGCCCCCGATGCAAATGTGAATGTGGCCTGTGTGAGGCAGGACATACGCTAAATTATTTTATTTAGTTTTTTATTTTATTTTATTTCTAATTTTTATTTAGGTGTTATCTATGTTTTATATTTAGTTTAAATTTCATTATTTTTAAGATGTTAGTTCATAGTATAATTAAGTATAATTTTTCATTATTGTTAATTACTATATTATATCTATAATTATTAATATATTAATATGAATGGGTTGCTGTTTAATTTAACAAGAGAAAATATTTTAATAATAATATTTTAAGGCATTCTTATTTTGTGTATTACAGATGGCCAGATGTGCTCACTATGTGTGTGAAACACTGTTTAATAAACTAGTGAATAGGATTATATGACAGGCTGTTTTGTAAGTAAATATATGTTAGGCTAACTTTCGGTTAATTTGATAATAAATTGGTTTCTCAAACACGACAATAGTGAAAACTTCGTATAATAGTGACATAATAGAATAATATTTTCTTTCTTTTATACTATTACCTATTATTACATAAATGATTGATAATAAAAATTTGAAAGTATTAAAGACAACCATTTCACACAGAACAAAGGGTCCCATAACGGCGTACTTACGCCGTTGAGTAAGTTGTGAATCAACATCTGGCAATCTTAAAACTAATAATGTTATGGTCATTCATGCCTTTTTTGCTTATTTAAACAAAAGCTAAGAAAGTCGTTATTTTTACGTAAATGTTAGGTTATAAACTACATTGAAAATAGACAACAATTTCGAAACACATTTTTATGTGGAACAAAGGATTCCATAACGGCAAATAAGTTAAGAATCAACATCTGGCAATCTTAAAACTATAATAATTATGGTAGGTCATTCATGTCCTTTTTGCAATTATTAACAAAAACTAAGAAAGTCTTTATTTCCCATCAGATGTTACGACAAGGTAAGAATTGTAGGCATCTATTGATTACTTTATATTTGTTTTGTATCAAACAGTACAGGTTGTCTTCGTTTTTTCGTGCTGGCTTGCAAACGAATTAAACTATTGCCTTTCGAAGCATGATTTTACTCTTAGGTTTCGTCACTAATAGTATAACAAAAAATAGTAGGTATTTCAAAATTAACTTACCGTTAATTTTATAAATTACATATCTCACACTCGTCCGGCGGATAGTGGTCGTACAGGCATCGTCCACAAGCACACCAAAATGTCTCTAGTTGGACAAGGCCCGCCACAATTTCCTTGTCCCTTAGATCTGCTAATTTGTGGTGCATATCACGAAATGGTATATCATAACCACATGCACACGTGTCTCTACGTATAAAGTATTTATTTATTTATTTATTTATTTATTTGGACATCCAGTTGTTGCTACATTTTTATCATTAACTTAAAATTAGGAATTAACATCTTACTGCTAATGCACAACATTTGAAGGACATCACAGCATGCGTTGAGTCGAGAACACTATATCAATTAAATTAAAATTTATCTAATTTCTCTACATTACCAAATTTACAATAAATAAGAATTATATAATTAGTAACAACTTTTGTTATCACTCATTATACAATAGTCAACCCTGAATACAAAAATATAAATACAAAACAAAAGAATAATCAAAGATCAAAACAAAGGACACAGTCATTAAAAGCTCAATAACAAAAAAATAACATTAAAATAAATAGATAAAATCGGTTGCGGAACAAATCAAGTCAACAGCAACATAATAAAACAAGTCAACAGCACACCACAACACTAAGCTTCATCTCTCAACAATCCCAGAACAGCTTTTTTGAATTTTGGCAATCTATCACTAAACAAATCAACCCTCTCACAGACAGAGTTATAGGCTCTAGAAAGACGAGAAATGGTGGAGAACCTCTTTAGGTTGGTTCTGGCAGATGGCTGGTGTAGTAAACCCGCATTAATTAGTGCGCGCCTAGGCACACGTCGAGGTACACGCAAATTGAACAAGCCTAATAGTGGCGGACAGTCAAACTCGTTTCTTAGTACCTTGTACATGAACGTTATGTCAAGCAGTTTTCTACGAACAGTCAAGCGGTCCATCCTGAAATGTCTCAGTCTTTCGCTATACGATACCAAGCTTTTGTGCAGCAGTGGGTTGTATAATGCTCCCACAGCCATACTGCTTCGCCAGAAGCAATAGCTTGAAAATGATGTTTGAAAATTGTTTGATCGGGATCGATTATAACCACCATTTTTACACTTTCACTGCTAACGTTAACGATGCTCGAAATGAACTGATGTCAACCTAATCGGTTTTCTAATTTCAAGTATTCCATAATCTGGGAATATGCAATTAAAAACTTAAAACTGAAAGTTAAGTTTTGGCTCACTTATCGCTTGTTTGTATTGATTTATTATAAGCTCGAAAAAGTAAATTTATAAGTTTCTCATGGGTAAATACTTCAAAATCCATTAAACCCTTATTTTTTTGTATCATTAGTAAAAGGACTCGCCATATTTGCTGCTATAAAAAAACAAGTGGTTTCGTAACGCAAGAGACCGTGTAAATAAAACAAAACAAACATAATTTATTAAACATTAAATTTTATTTTATATTTTAATATTTGGTGAGAGCTCCACCTGCATCTATCACAGCATCGCACCTACTTTTCATAGAGTTAACTAGGACTTCGCAGAGATCCGAGCCTCTTAAAGATTCCCACACTTCATCAACATGTGACACAAGAGCTTGCTTTGTTCGCTTGCTTGAATTACAGCTGTTATTAGATGTTGGTAGATTATTTAGAGACGACAACGTTTCCAAAAGACAAGGTGTGTATAGGTGAATGCACGAAAGGCAACTGCCAGTACTTTGCTTACTTTAAAACTTGTAGAGTAGTAAAATTATTAGAAGAAATGGTTTATAAAAAAAAGGTATTTTGTTTCATGATACCAGATGTTTCGTTGGTGTTAATTTTTTAACACGTGAATGAAATTTACAGAAACAAAGAAACAAAAAATATCTTTTGTTTCGAAATTGGAGATGTTTCATTGGTCGCTCGAGGTAGAAGGCGGAGCAAGTTAAGATTTTTGGGTGCAAGCGAATTTGATTTGAAATTGACCACCGTTTTCGTTCGGTCATAGTACAAAAGACCGTTTAAAGCGTTTAACTCGTGTCGGCTTGGTTGGGCAACCAGGTAGGTACCTACATTTTGTTGGTAGCGGCGACTGGTTGTGGCGCCATGGCACAGTAAACATACATAGTCGTTGCCTCGGTTTTCGGCCTTTTAGTGGAGTTGTCAACTTTAAGGCACTAGAAAAAAATATTGCTATTATTTACGCCTATTGCTATTGCTGTTAATGTACAGTCTACATAATGTAGTTTTCGTTTATATAACTCATTAGTTCCTACAAATAAACCTCTTTTTTATATTATTTTTTAATGTGCAAAATAGGTAAAACGCCGGTTTTCGGCCGGAAATTTTAGATTTCGGCCGACAAGAATTTGGTTTTCGGCCACTGGATTAAATAGAATAGAAAGGTAATACAAAACTAAATAAAATAACAATAAAAAATATTTCATCCTGTATTTTTTATTTATAGTAACATATATCAAATTATTATTAATCAGGTACGATTATAATTGACAACAATGCAAGAATAAATTATCTATAAGTCTTCGCTTAGTTATTCATAATAATTATAATTTAAGTATCAGTCGAAAAAAAATTGCTCATTAAAGAGTCATCATAAAGTTATTCTTATCATTAAAACATAAATTCGTATTAAAATCTTTGATTAATAAAATATTTGGTAACAATCTTTATAAGTTCGGTACTATCAACAAAAGCTTCGTTCTCATACAAAATAATAACTTTACATAATCATAATCAACATTTTTCTATCAATAAAAATCTAATATCAAAATCTTTAATACGTATGGCTATGGCAGCATTTGGCAAAAAAATCAATCCAATAAGCTTAATTGTAATTAGTAAACTGATTACAAATGCAAGCATTACATTTGAAGGGTTTGTGTTATAATTTCCTCAAAATACAACTATCAGCGCCACCTGTTAACAGCAATGTACATCTCTGACGTTATAATAAAATTCAGTCTTGTTTTAGAAAAAAGCACGTTGTTTTACTTCAAATAAATTAATAATAAATTATTAATAGTTTGTCTTGTACTTCTTCATACTTTAGTCCAGCGAAGTCTATGCATCTTAAATGATACCATTTGGTGCAAAAATCACATCCAATATTTCTTTCAGGATCTTCTTCTGTATCACTTTAAGGCTGGAAACAGTGCTCGACCGACGGTCAGTGCTGACCGTACGTCCAGACCGTCAGCGCTGACCGTCGGTTCCAAAAATGCATTTAGTGCTACGCTGACGGCGAACTGTAACGCGTGTGTACAGTTCACATGTAAAATGAATCCTTTTGCTGTAAATGCTCTAATATGTGCACGCTATTTTTTGCGCAAACGACGGAATAGAAGGCGGCGAAGATATCATGTACACCCAATACTTGTAGAACGGTTGTTAGAAGGCGAGTTCTGCAAACTATTTTCGAGATTGCAAGAAGACGAGGAAAAGTTTTTTGATTATTTTAAGATGTCAATCAGAAGTTTTGATGAACTACAAGCAAGGTTACATGATATTTTGAAACATTCCAATATGTTTCGAGCTCCGGTCCAACCTATTGAAAGATTGGCTGTGACTTTAAGGTAAGTACTTATTACAATAATAAAATAATAAAATACTCAAAATTTTTAATCAACATTTATTTAAAAAATTACATTTTTTTATTGAACGTGAGAAAATCGTTTATAATACAGTTTTGATTGGATGAATCATTTGTCTGTATATGAATCAGCTGAGAAGAGGGTTCCTCTATCAAATAGGACTGTTGGATATTTGACTGACCGGGCAGTGTTTGAATAGGAGATTGTACCACTGGGTACAACGTCATAGAATTACTATGTTGCGAATCTGATGAAGTAAAAGAATGCGATGTTCCTGGACGGTGTAAGCCGAGCCTTGAAATTTCCAAGGCTTTTTGTAGCACCTCTTGACGAAATATTAATTTTTGCTCGATAGAAAAAGTATTAGTAATCGGCAACAGTGAACTGAAAAACGCCATATCATCGTTTTGCATAACTTTTGCATTCTCTTTAAAGAAAGTCAGCATTTCTCTGTCAAACTCATCTTCATTGCGAGTTTTTTGACGTGTTCGCGTGAATTTTCGTCCACCGTTAGAGGCAGTTTTGCTGTTTTGATTAATGTTGGAATCATCGGAAGTTGAATGCTGAGGTTCAAGAGTTCCTTCGTTTCCAGTAGGTTGAGATACGACAGCACCTTCGTTTTGGTATTCAGCAGTTTCATTTTGGTTTGGCTTCTCATTTGGCAAAATTGAATCCTCGGTATTCAATTCTCGTTTATTATCCAGAAATTTCATAAACTCAAAATAAACATATGTCTTCCTTTTTTTACCTCCAGATCCAGACGGTATATTCTTTAATGTAGCCTTACACCTCACATAAGCGTCTCGCGCAGTTTTCCACCTCTGCTGCACTTGTTTGTCTGTAAAAGAAGATTAATATTTATTTTTTGTTTCAGATACTTCGTGACGGGAGAGACATTTAAAGATCTTCATTTTAGCTATCGTTTGGGGGCTTCAACTATTGGTGAAATCATTAAAGAAGTATGTAAGAAAATTTGGACTCTACTCCATGAAGAGTGTCTTTCGATACCTAATTCACAGGAAGGGTGGCTACGAATCGCTGCCGGTTTTGAAAATACAGCAAATTTCCCTAACTGCATCGGTTGTATAGACGGGAAGCATGTCAGAATAATTTGTCCTAAATATAGTGGGAGTCTGTATTCAAATTATAAAAAGTTTTATTCTATAGTTCTTTTAGCTATGTGTGACTGTGACTATCGCTACACCTATATAAATGTAGGGGCATATGGAACAGATTCTGATTCAAATATTTTTCGAAGAAGTTCATTATTTACGAAATTACACAACGGAGAAATAATATTGCCTCCACCAAAACCATTACCTCACACTACAGAACCTCTCCCATATATGATTATCGGCGATGCCGCGTTTGGTATATCGAACAAAATTTTAAGACCTTATGCACGAAGTAATCTGACACATAAGAAAAAAATATTTAATTATCGCTTAAGCCGTGCTAGAAGGTACATTGAGTCTACATTTGGAATAATGAGTAATAAATTTAAGATATTTCACAGACCAATGAATACTTCCCTACCGAATACAATAGCAATAATAAAGGCTTGTTGCCTTTTACATAACTACATTCGAGAAAGAGACGGGTACAGAATACAGGATACACTAACTGTTTTAGGGTTTGACCAATCTCTTAATACAAACAGTAATAACAGCAGATCAGGTGACACAATAAGGGATAAATTTTCCAACTATTTCGTTTCTCCCGCTGGTAGTGTACCGTGGCAAGATACGTGTATTTTTTAATTAAATAGTATTTTACAACAATAATAACGTTTTATTTACTTACCTATATCCTTTTTCTCACTCTCGGATTTATCGTCGAAATCCGGAATTAATTCTTTACAAACTTCTTGCCAAGCACTTATTCTAGCATCACGATCTTTATAAAATACATGCGATAAATCCCATATTACCGGACGAAGCCGCACTTCTGTAATAAGACGCTCTGTATCAATATTCATTTTTGCTTTGAATGTACGTACGCGCGTTCCGTCAGCGAAGCACTGAACGCAACGATACAATCTCACAGCTCGTCGTTCGACCGACGTACGCGCGACCGACGAGCCGGACCGACGGCTCGACCGACCGCTCGCGCGTACCAAATCACGCGCGTGCCGTCAGCGTAGCTGTGTGCGTGTTCATAGACTTACACAGATATAGCTACGTCGTCCGACGGTCGGCGCTGACCGTCGGTCGAGCACTGTTTCCAGCCTAACTCTTTCGTTTTCCTTCATGGGTTTCTTGGTCTTCGCGATTTTTCGTTTTGTGACTTTAGCATTTTTTAACTGTTCTTTTTCTATTCTTTTCTTTTTCAAAGTTTCTTGTCGTTTTTTTCACAATTCTAACTTCTCTGTTTTAACTTTTTCTTTATGTTCATAAAATTTCCGATACTCCGCCGATGAAATTGCCGCAGGTAAAGGTGTACGTGTAGTGATAGTGTTAGATTTTTTAGCAGGTTGCGGTTTAAATAAATGTTTTTCTATAATGTCTGTTTTACTAGTTTGTATAGGTGTACTAGTCTGTTTTATTGGAATATCAACCAGCACATTGCGTCGAGTTATTATATTTTCCAATGATTCAGAGGTCTTGTTTGATATCATGGGTGTTTTTGGCAGTAATACTGTGGAATTGGTGGTTATCGTACTACATTGAGTGGTTATTATTGCATCGCGGCAATCATTTACGCTTTCAGACAGTACTGTTGTTGCTGGCAGACTTATTTGAGATGATAATATAAGAACATCATCCAGCGATACTAAAGAACCAACATCCAAATAACTTCCTGACAAATGGAATGTGGAAATGTCGTTTTCAATCAACGATTCTGATGCTTCGATAGATGGATCCTTATCTGAGTGAGTTACTAGAACTTCATGAGTTATTGGAATAGTTTTATCTTGGCTCATGTTGCACAGAATTTCTGGAGTTTTTACAGGACTAAGTGGTCTTATATTGCTCAATTGGAGTAGCAAGTCTTCGTCAGCGTGGCTTTGTGGAATGGTATCAAAGGACGCCATTTGAGTCAAGCTGATATCTTCTAATTGGCTGGTCATATTATTATCTTCTGTGACTATTTGAGATGTTGTATTATTGACTGTTGAGTTCGTCAGGTCTTCAGAGCATGTTTCGTACAAAACGTCAGAAAATTGTATCTGAGAAGACTATCTTTTCAGTTTCTTCATCTCCTTCAATATAACAGCCACGTTTATATTTCTTTCGGCCAGAGTTGATTTTAGATGTTTCAAAACCTTTCTTGTGGAAATTAGGTCTGCGTTAGTTATTTCTTTAGAATTTCTTTCGGGTGTCTTTGATTTATTTAATATGTCCAGGGTATTCTGAACACATTTCGTGTAATCCATTGCATCAGGATCAAATGGATAAACCCCGCATTTTCTGAAGCCATTAATTATATTTCGCTGCATATTTGCATTATCCAGGCAGTCTTTGAAAAGAACGCAAAAATTTTTCTTGGTGACAGAAGAGTTTGTGTTTTCTGGCTTCGTCAAAAACTTCCTCATTACTTTTTTCCACTCTGATTTCAAAGGCCCAAAAACACTGACATCTGCTGGTTGAAGTATGTGCGTGGTATTAGGTGGCAGAGCGTAAAGAATTATTTCCAATCGCTCGCATATCGCACTGAACTCAATTGACATATGGGATCTGTGTCCATCAACCAGTAAGAGAATGGGTTTCTTAATTTTGTTACTCACCAACCAATAATTAAAATCATTCTTAATGTATTCAAAAAATACGTCACTTCGCATCCAACCACTCTCAGACCTTCCGAGGACCCAATGTGGTGGCATGCTATCTGCTATTTGTTTTGGCGGGCGAATATATGGAAAAACTATTAGTGGAGGACAAACTTGCCCGTTAGCATTAAATGTCACCAAAACGGTTAAATTATCTTTTTCACTGCCATTTTTAATTTGGTAAAGATTCCGGTACCCTCGAGGACCAAGGACCTTTCCTGTTTTAGGGCAAAGAGATTCTACCAGAACCGCTTCAAGTTCTCGAAACTAGAGCTTGATTGACTCCTTCGTGACCCCTTCGTTACCGTTAGCTCTCGCCTTGTTTATTCCTTCAGCGGATCTTTGTGAAATTTCCGGATACCTTTTCAAGAAATTCAAAAACCGGGTTTGTCCAGGACGGTCGTCTTTGAAAGGAGTCTGCATGCGTAAGTCTTTTATGATTATCTGAACAGTGTCTAGCAGTTCTGATTTTTTAATAGGAAAACCACACTTAGCTATGTCAATAAGCCATTCCACTATTTTTATTTCGATTTCTTGGGTAAGTATAGGATCAGGACCTCGAGTTTTAATTGAATCATTACTTCTTCCAGATATTCGATCTTGTACAGTTGCCCTAGGAACTCCATAATTTCGGCAAACTTCTCTAATAGAAAGCTTTTTTCGCGAATATCTCTAAGTGCTTGGTTAATGGTATCTTGAGTATATGGCGCATTCTTTTTTCGTTATTTAATAATGTCCTTTGTCTTTGGAGGAGCCATCTGAAGCAAAAAAAATATGGTTCATCAAATGGCTGAAAATCAGACTGCCGTTCGGTTTTCGGCCGCTCTATTTTTCATACAATATTAAGTTGGCCGAAAACTGAATAATAATTATAGACTCACTCTAGTTTCCGGCCACTACCGAAATGCGTATTTTAGTTTCATCAATAACCGTTAAAATTGTAGTATTTTGATGGCCGAAAACTGAAAATAAGAGTATTCACAAGAATACAGTTCAATATAAACGAAGAGAAGTCTACTTTCGTCTATCCAATTAAATAAAAGAGACAAAAATATTTAGACTGAACGTGAGCTACTTTTCGGCCACATAGCCGACAACCAAAAATTCGGAGAATTTATTAAGCCACTTTCTGGCCACTTAGTTTAACAACTATTTCAATAAAATATTGCACTAATTAATGTGAAAATACAGTACTAAGTGTTTATTACAGTGGAATATATGCACATTATTATATAATCATACTAAAAACAGCACAAAACTTACTTTTGAGTAGACCGCGCGCCGCTACATTTTTCGCTCGTTCCCCACACGTCTTGACAGCTCCTGTGCGGGCGTTGTACTAAACAATTTATTAAAAGTCGAATGTTGTGTCTACCCGACCAAGTAATGTTGCCAGATATAATGTAACCGTCTGTAAATGTATTTAACTTCGTTTCGTGCTATAATATTTACTATAATCTTTATTAAATCAAATTTACTGTAACACCTAGTTCCAAAGGCCGAAAACTAGACCCAGCCGGCAAACCGGCGTAATGACCAACATTTAAATACGTGTCCCGGTGAAATAATAGGTAGCCCTTTAAAATGCCCTTAAAAAAGTGGTCCCGCGCCTAAGTACCTAATACCTACCTGCAACCCGGTCACATTATCTTGAGACCTGGCGGCGATGACGTCATGTCGCGTCGGCGCTCTGATTGGTGCGCAAAACAAGCATATTTTAGTAGGGTATTATTATAAATAACTAGCTGATCCGGCAGACTTCGTACTGCCTCATCGATAAATAAAAGACCTAATCTTTTGTATAAAATCATTTTAAAACAAACAAAATAATTATTAATGAAAAAGCATTTATTGAATAAAGCATGAAGTTTTATTATTATTTTCGATACATCATGTTGCTTACTTAGAAATCAGAGTTTTCCTGAAATACTGGCTATTTATAAGGTTTAAATTTGATATTCACAGACACACACTGTGAAAATACAGTCTGTTAATTAATTTAAAGCTTTCTCATAAACTATATTTTTTGTTTTGTTTTGTGGTGCGTAAATAAACAAAGAAGACGGTTTTCCGACGCGCGAACACGTGACGTATAATTGTCCATGCACGAAACAGGGAAACTCCAAGTTGATTCCACAAACTTCTAAAGACTGTCCTTGCAATTTATTTATGGTCATCGCAAAGGCTAGACGTATTGGAAATTGTAAGCGTTTAAAATCGAATGGTAAGTCTGTTGGAATCATCGGTATCCGCGGGATCAAGACATCCTCTCCTTTGTATTTTCCTTTTATGATTGTCGCCTCAATGACATTATTCATCAGTCTTTTCACAGCCAGTCTTGTTCCATTGCATAGTCGAGGTTGATTAATGTTATGCAGCATGATGACAACTGATCCTACTTTTAACTGCAAATTGAGAGGTGGTAATCCAGGCAATTCCAGTGAATTTAAAAACTCAGTGGGATAGTTGATTACGTCATCCTGTTTCATTACGGTGTCGACTGATTTGAAGGAAACCAACTGTCCTGGAAGAAAATTCTGAATGGTCGCATTAAGATCCTCGACATCATTATTTTTCGCTGCTAATATTGCTCGTTCACCCAGCCAATTATGGTTATTGAACTTTTGCGCTATATCTGGGAAAACTCGCTGAATAAGCTCCACTTTTGAGTCTGTGATGTGACAGAAATCTGTAGGTAATGTGATGAATCCGGTCGAGGTGCCCACTGCAACTTTTTTATTTCCAATGTCTAACAACTGCTTCGCAAACACATTTGCAGTTTCATCTTGTTGCAAAAATACTCGCATGTTAGTTGTTAAGTGGAGTGTCTTTACGTACTGCCACAAATTTGATGATTTTAGGCATGCATTTAGTTCATCAGCAACAGTTGATCGGGGAATAACTGGAAGAGTCTGACGAAAATCACCTGACAACAGAATCATGGCCCCACCGAAAATATTTTGGTTGTCACGAAGATCTTTCAACGTTCTGTCCAGTGCCTCCAGTGACCTCTTATGGGCCATTGTGCATTCATCCCAAACAATCAATTTGCATACCTGTAGGATCTTGGCCCAATGGCCAATCGCTATTTTTGGCGATATTGCAAATTGGTGTTTCGGTGATTTGCATGTTTAGTGGTAATTTCAAGGCAGAATGTGCAGTTCGCCCGCCTTCGAGCAGAGTTGCAGCTATTCCAGATAAAGCCAACGCTAGAGCAACATCATTTCGCGATCTGATCTTCGCCCAAAGCAATGAAATTAAAAACGTTTTTTCGGTTCCTCCGGGAGCATCAAGGAAATAAATTCCACCAGATCCACTGTTCACAGCTTCTATCAAAGTGTCGTACGCAATTCTTTGTTGTTGATTTAATTGTGG